TTGTTTAATGCGCTCGTGTGCCGGCGGTACGTCCCCAGGTTTCGCTTCCATATAACATGGTAGGGATTATTACTGCTCGATAAACTGCAAGTTTCGTTTTTGTGCTCAAGTCATGATCGTAAAAAACGCTGTCTTTTAATTTCCAGAATGCTCTTGGGGCGCTGCTGATTCTGTGCTGAATTTCAGAGTCGATATTTACGAAATCAAACTGCCGAGGTAATTAAATTCCGATACATATTCCAATTCAGTTCTTCTCCGATTTTTATAGCGCTGTTATGATTTTCCGGGGGAGTGCACATGATTTTTGTTTTATCGATGTTCAGTTTAAGACTCAAAGTCTCGTATGCCCAGGTATATGTGTTCAGCATTTCCTGTAATTGCTGTAACGTATTTGCAACTAGAGCGAAGGCATCAGCGTATTGGAGTTCTGTGATAAATTTTCTAGGTGTTTTGCCCTGAGTCTTTTTATGTTGAACAGCCCGCCGTCATACCTGTATCTAAAACCCATTCCTCTTTCCTGCAGTTTGCTGTCCACTATAATAGAGAGCGCTGCCATGAATATGTTGAATAGGAGAGGAGATAGGACACATCCCTGCCTAACTCCTGTATTTGTCAGGAAGGGATCGCTCAGTGATCCATGATGTGACACTCTCGACTTGTTGTTATTATGGAGGCTTTTGCATACACTAAGGAATTTGTTGGGCACTCCGAACTTTGGCATAATTGCCCAAAGTGCATCTCTGTTTACAGAGTCGAAGGCTTTCGTTAGGTCGATGAATGCAACATAAAGTTTACTCTGCTGTTCCTTTACTTTTTCCTGGAGTTGGCGGACGGAGAATATGGAATCAACGGTACCGCGGTTGGTGCGAGAGCCCGTTTGCGATTCTGGGAGGATTTTTTCTATATGTGGATGAAGGCGGTTTGACATAATTTTTGCGGGAACTTTACCTCCGGTAACCAATAGTGAAATTCCTCGGTAGTTCCCACAATCTGATGCACTTCCTTTGTTCTTAAATATATTTACTATATTCGCGTTGCGAAAGTCCTGAAGTACCCCTCCGCTTTCCCATATGACATCGAAGAGAGCCTTAAGATGACCAATAAGTTCTTTGCTTGCACACTTTCCGCTGGAATCGCGTCACAGCCAGCCGATTTGTTGTTTTTAAGTTGTTTTACGGAGGCCTTTATTTCCTGTTCCGTTATTGGGATATCTAATACATCAATGCTGTTATACTGAGGTATTGTGTTTAGTGCTTGCATATTGGGGATATTGTCTTGGTTAAGGATATGGCTGTAATGCTCTTTCCAGCGATTTCTGATTTGCTCTTCCTCATTTAGAAGTTTATCGTTTTGTGCCTTGATTGGGCAGCTTACGTTCTTAGTTGGGTCGTATACTTCTTTTACAGCCTCGAAAAATTTACGATAGTCGTGATGCGCGGCGTACTCTTGAATCGGATTGGCTTTTTGTCACCACCAGTTATCCTTTAGTTGGCGCAGGTTTCTTCGAAGCGTGTTGTTTGCTCCTTTAAAGTTGTCCACCAGACTTGGATTGTGTGGATTGGCAGTGGCTGCTTGATGTGCTCTATGCTTTTGTTCCAACAAAGCCTGTATATGTGGTTGATTTTCGTTAAACCAGTCTGGTTGTTTCTTTTTGTTGGATTTTCCCAGTATCTCTTCGCTGGTATTATAAAAGTGCTTCTCTGATGGCTTCCCCGAGGGCGTTGGCGGTGTCGTTGTTCGTTAGACTCCGTACGTTTAATCTGGTCATGTTGTTTTGCTTTTTGTAGTGTGGATGTTTTGGTTTTAATTGAAGTTTCATTTTCGAAACTACAAGTCGGTGGTCAGTACCACATTCGGCATTTATTCTGGCTTTTGTAAGTCTGACATCTTGCAGATGCTTCCTTCGAACGATGACGTGGTCCAATTGATGGCAGTGGCCTGATCTGGGATGTTTCCAGGTACCTTTAAACTTGTCTTTCAGCTTGAACCATGTATTGGTGATGCAAAGGTTGTACTCTGTGCATGTTGTTAGCAAGCGTGCACCATTGCTATTTACGTTTCCCATTCCATGTTTTCCCAATACGTCTGGCCATATTTCTTGCTGATTGCCGACAAGTGCATTAAAGTCACCTAGCAAGGTGATTCGCTCCTGCTTTGGAATTCGTTGGAGAGCATTTTGTAGATCTTGGTAAAAATTATCCTTATGCTCAACCTCAGCGGCTAGGGTGAGAACGTAGGCACTAATGATATTGACGTAAGTTTTATCTGATATGGGGTACCTTAGGGTCATGAGACGTTCGGAGACTCCAATGGGCACTTCTTTAACAGGCGTTTTTAACAGCAATGCCTACGCCATGAATTCTACTGTGTGTGGCAGGGTAACCCTTCCAAAAGAAGTCAGCCAAATCTAACTATCTACTTAACATGTTTATTTTTTGTCAATAATAACATGTATTGACTATTTCCATTCTAAATATGTTAAGAATGGTTGCTCGTAGACATTTTTATCAAGAGATATTTTTTACGTAAAAAATCACGAAAATATACAGGGTGGTCCGAACTGTATTCCGGATACTTCGGCGGCATATTCTGCAGATAAAAATAAGCAAAGAAGTTCGTATGTATGTATGTATGTATGTATGTATGTAAAATGCTTAGTTTCAGAGATACAAGGTGTAGAAGTTTCATTTTTATTTCGATTTTTTCCAAATAATTTCTGAAGTAATGTCAATATTTTGACGAAAATTGGTGTCTGGGAGTTTTTTGACATGAGAAATTTAATTTTGATGTTAATGTGACTACCACTTGTAGGGGGCGCCACTTATATGATGTGTTTTAACTGTTTTGAAGATTAATATCTTTTCGTCTGTATATAAAGGAAATAAAACCACTAAGTGGAAAAATATACATTTCCGTGACTTTTTACGTAAAAAATATCTCTTGGTAAAAATCGTTACAAGCAACCGTTCTCAAGATATTTAGAATGGAAATAACCCATACATGTCATTTTTGACAAAGCATAAACACGTTGAGTAGATAGTTATTTGACTGAAATAATAAATTTGGGAATTTTTATTTTTTTAAATTAATCATAAATTTTCTGCAAAAAAACTGACGATAAAACAGTTTCTGTTAAACTTTTGACATAAAAACATTTCAAATTTATTATTTCAGTCTAATAACTATTTAGTCAACATATGTTTAATTTATGTCAATGATGACAGATGTTGATAAGTTCGATTCCACATATCTCGAGAAGCATTACTCGTAGCGATTTTTACTAAGAAATCTTTTTTACGTAAAAAACATCGTAAATGTATATTTTCTACTCAGTAGTTTTATACAGGTACGGATGAAAAGTTATTGATCTGTAAACCAGTTAAAAAGTATGCAGGTGGCGCCCTACAAGTAGGAGTCATATTGACATCAAAATCAAATTTCTCATGTCAAAAAACTCCCAGTCACCAATTTTCATCCAAATATAGACCTTACTTCAGAAATTATTTGAAAAAATCGAAATAAACATGAAACTTCTACACCCTGTATCTCCGAAACTAAGCATTTTAGGACATACGATGTTTTTTGCTTATTTCCATCTGCATAATATGCTGCCGAAGTTTCCAGTTCAGACCACACGGTATATTAAATTTTCGTATGTAAAAATATACGTTTTCTTTATTGTTATTTTATTTTTTTGTAATTATTTCACTCTTTGTTTCTTCACTATTCTATCACAATTTTTTATATTGTAATTTCGAAATTAAAAAATTATTTATTTTATTTATTCATTTCCTCTAGTACCCTAGATATAACAATATGAAGCTAGGCCAAAATAATCCTTTTCATCGTACACAAACTGTAGAAATAATTAATATAGATATATTAAAACCGTATCTAAATATTAAATTTTCTAAGTTTAGAGCAATGGAAAGTGGAAAGTTCAAACTTACTATTCCCTGGCTGCTCCATTTTTGTTTTTGGTCTATTTTCAAGGTGACGAAACTTTAAATGATCCATTCGCGAGATTATTCGGGACGATTAAGTTTATAATCTCAATTTTCTAGTCTCCCCGCGGATGAAACTTTAGACTTAGTTATTTTGTAGAATGCTCAAGTTGTTCGTACTCTTTGTTGGCGCGTTGAAAAGTTGTTTTGTTTACGAAATAGGGATAAAATGCGAATAAAATGAGCATTTTCTAGATGAGTGCGCGTTGTTTATCAAATAAAATTGATGCATCATGCTGCATATCCAAATAGGAAAATAGAATTCTAATAAGGATTGAATTATTCTATGTTATACAGGTGGTCGAACTGTATTCCGGAAATTTTGGCAGCGTATTCTGCAGATAAAAGTAAGTAAAAAAGTTGGTATAAATGTATGCCCTAAAATGCTTAGTTTCGGAAATACAGGATGAGAAAATTTCATTTTTATTTCGATTTTTTTCAAGTAATTTATAAACTAACGTCGATATTTGGATAATAATTGGTATTTGGGAGTTTTCTGACATGAAAAATTTTATTTTGATGTCAAAATTACTTGTAGAAGGCACCACCTACATATTTTTAACTGCTTTGAAGAGTAATAACTTTTCGGCCGTACCTGTATAAAACCACTGACTAAAAAAATATACATTTCCATGACTTTTTATGTAAAAATTGTCTCTTGGTAAAAATCGCTACGAGCAACCGGTCTAAAGATATTTAGAATGGAAATAGTCAATACATGTCATTATTGACAAAAAATTAACATATTGTGTAGATAGTTAGGAGTAGTCGGTAGAGATGCACATTAAAATCGGATTTCAATTTATTTCATTCTAGGATCGCTGGCGTTCGTCGCTTGGTACTCGTCAATTGCATCGCTCGTTCATAATCGAGCGATGTCGGTTATTTTAATAATCGAGTACTCGAGCGAATTTTCGCTTGAGTTACAATTACGAACATTAAATCACTACAATCAATTATTAATTAAAATTAATGTGTATTTTCTTTTTTTTATAGATATCAGTTTGCCAAGCAGCCAAGGTAGCAGAAATATGGAGAAAGTGGAGAATATTGGAGAAATTTTCCTGTTTTCACCCACAACATCATCAGGAGTGTCCGCATATTTTGTAAATAGTGTTTACATGTTTATACTTGCTCTAGTCTTAGCTTAGAGTAAACACTAATAATAAATAAAAATAATAATAAATAAAAAAAAATGTGTAAACAAAACAGTCAGGGTTCTAAATGTAATGTTAAATTTCCCAATTCGGATTAAAATAAGTGTAACATACCGAAATATACCGAGTGACAAAAAAAAGTATCTGTATACAGGGTGTCAAAAAAATGTATCTAACTAACAGTGGGGAAACGGAAATTTAGAAACACTAATTTTTGCCACCCTGTATATTAAATTATTTCGATTATAAATACTCATCCAAACCAAATCATTTTTGAGAAAATGTATCATTTATTAACTTAAAACGTTAAATATAAAACTAAAATTTATTTTAAAAATATATGAAAACATTTTATAATTTCCTACTTCCCCAAATTGAAAAAAAAAGGCATGCGCTAGAAAAATATTAAATTATTGTTTTAAATTCTTCATAACTGTATATATTGATGTAATTTCTTCCAAAAAAAGAGATACCTGTTGAATAACTTATAGTCTAAGAGCTGGCTACATAAAAAACCTTATCATCGTTACATGGCTAAATTTTTGTGTGAAGTATCCATTTGTGTAGCCATTATGAAATAGCCAGCGCGATCCAGGGGCTTAAAGCGGGAGCGGCCAATGGAAAGGGTGAAATTTTGACACTAAAAATATTATAAGGTACACGAGTTATAGTTGCGAATATAGCTGTTATTTATTATTAAGAAACGTAGAAAATTGTTGGCAGACATTTTTTAGTCTCTAAAATGCCAACAGACAACGCGAAAGAGGCATGAAATTTTAAAAATTATTAAAAAACGAAATTTGAAGAATGAAAAAAATTATGGCATATTTGCATGCCGATTGGTGAGATGTCATATTTAGTTATATTAAAAGCCGTATACAAAAGGGTAGACAAAAAGATCGGGGTTCAATCAGCTGCAGACATTTATTAAAAGCGCGATATTAGTCTAGCGCTTTATTCAGGGAACGCTGGCCGCCTCATCCATTTAAGTTTAGATAAATCATATAATATACGATTATATTATAAATATATTTTTTGTCATACGCTCCCAAAAACAGCTATTTTACGGACTCATTTCAGTCCGTAAAATGTTTCTTTTTCGGCCTAGGCCGTAAAGGTCGTCATGGCAACCTTTATGGACTAAAATGTCTAAATTGTTGATGAATTTGTGTGATTTTGTGACAAATTTCGAATGACATGTCAAAATGCGA